CTGGGCCTACATACCACAGTATAACCCTCTGGGCATAAGTACCACGGTATCCCCCACTGGGCCTACATACCACAGTATTACCCTCTGGGCCTACGTACCACAGTATCCCCCACTGGGCCTATGTACCACAGTATCCCCCACTGGGCCTGCATACCACAGTATAACCATCTGGACATAAGTACCACAGTATCCCCCACTGGGCCTACATACCACAGTATAACCCTCTCGGCATAAGTACCACAGTATCCCCCACTGGGCCTAGGTACCAGTGTTCCCCTATGGGTCTACGTACCACAGTATCCAGCGGCTGAGGCCTCCACTTGCTTTTACTTTTACACTTGATATCTTTCACTGTTGCAGTAGGATTCTGATAAAAAGAAAACACCTGCATGAATGTATCATTAAAAAAATTAACCAAGAACAAGGGTATTATGTACCTGTCAAACTGTGCTGAAAGTGTGTAATGCCAGGTCTGTGTGATAGAAATGTTTGTATTATCAACTCTTTTTCTTTCGTTCCTGTGGGATTGTATGATAGAACTGTTTAGGCCAAGAAAAGTGTGTAAGAAATTTCTACTTGTCACCTCATTTCATTTGCATGATGCACGATAGGACAAAACTGAGGTGATGTCATGAAATACAGGAAACTCTCATGCCATGATGCCAATGTGATTAAATTTAAAACTAACATTAAGTTTTGGTTATATAGGTCAGAAAGATAAGGATAATTTTCTTGCACATACAAAGTTCACTGAAATGGGGTATGGTATGCTAGTTCACGCTGACCATTTCTCCACCCCCCCCCCAAAAAAAAATTGGGGAAAAATTGGTACATTTATTTTGAAATTGATTTTCAGTCAAAAAGATTTCTCTAGTTTCTGAGCTTCTGGCAATTTGAACCAGAAAAAAATATTTTTCATTACCAAGGGTATAGAAAGGGGAAATCCTATCTTGAGTTTTTTGAATTGAGACAAAACCCTTATACGAAACTCTAGGTAAGCCTTGGGTTTTACTCAGTTTGAAAACCTTCTGGAGAATTTCCCTATCCTACACTCCTGGGCATGAAAGAATCATTCCTATAATGTGTTTTATACAACTGGATTGTACTGAAGTTTTATCATTTCAGAGTTTAATTAAATTTAGAAACAATGTCATATTATTAACAATGACAATCTTGACTTTGGAGGTAGAATCCTGAAACATGACCTCATTCAAGTTATCTAAGTACTTTCAAACAGGTGTGCGATGCTGGTATGATATTGGTAGGCTATTGCATTGAATTCTGAGGAAATGGTCTGGAGAAGCAAACACCCAAGAATTGTGACCTTGATATTGATCATATGATTCCAATAAGTTATGTAACAATCTACCACTTCAATCTATATTAGTATGCAAGGTACAATTAATTTTCTGTTTTCAGCCTTCTGATGTGTCTGTCCATGAGCCTGACTTTTTACCTTGTGATTTTGGAAATTGCCAGAATATTTGTATAGTGTATTTTCCTGTGCTATTAAGGACCTGGCTGTGCATAATCAAATACATGTACATGTATACTAAAACTGTTTTCCTTCCATACACCCTGTATATCTTTGAATACTTTCAGAACAGGTTGATATCTTATTTCAGGAGTGAAGAGTTATCAACCAGAATAGAAGATAGATTTTCGTCAGTTTGCTGTCTTTAAACTTTTATGTTGTGATTCTTTATCCAAAGTTAGTTGCCAAGAGTGATTTCAAGATGTTCATATCAAGGCACTAATTCACACAACAATTGAAACTATTTCTTCATTAGTAATCATAAACTAGCAATTGTTTTATTAAGAAAGTCAAAACTACTGAAAAATAAATGGTCACTTCTACAATAACATGTTGTCTAATAGAAACTGAAACAAAAGAAATCTACTCACCTCAGTGCAGTGTTCATATAAAACCAGACAAGCAGTGTTGTCAAAAAGGCGCACCCTAAAAAATAGCATCAGTTATATGCTGAATGGCTACACAATAGTGAACCTTATCTGTATAAAATATGTCTAAGTCTACCATGCTGGCGATGTGATGACACCTAACGGCGATGTGATGACACCTAATGGCGATGTGATGACACCTAATGGCGATGTGATGACACCTAATGGCGATGTGATGACACCTAATAACCATATATTATTGGACAAGAATACATCTGCATGATATTTTCCAACAAACCATGCACAATGCTCTTCTGAAAGCCTTCAANAACCATATATTATTGGACAAGAATACATCTGCATGATATTTTCCAACAAACCATGCACAATGCTCTTCTGAAAGCCTTCAATGCATTTCAAAGGACCATTGTATGACTAATCTTGGTGATTTAGCTTTGTTGAGTGACGGTTCATAAGTCCATATCTAAATCTTTCCACACCCATCTACATTACAGTTGTAAATATCGGCAAATCAACAACATGAAAATGAGGACACACATGTGAGAAATGTTAACACACACAAAAGAAGAGCCTAGTTTAAACATACATTTGTATTTAATTAGGGTTTGAAAAGTTATTAACACAAGCTGAAGGTTCATTCCTTCATTAGTTATTATTTTAGAACATTGTATTTGTAACCAACTACATTTATTGCACTAAATCCTTAATGGTATGTAAAATATTGGAATGAAATTACCAGCATTATAGTTATTGTTTTCTTTAATAAGGGATATATACTGATAGTCCCCATGTTTCTGAGAAAGATTTTTGGGTCATTTTAGATCATCAATAGAAAGAAAATGCTTTATCAGTATTTATCATCACTTGAATCATCTTTTTAGAAAAATTATCATTATGCATAAAATCAGTCAATAATAGTGAAACATGATTTGATGAAAACACTTTCCACTTTTTTTACCTTGAAATCTG